CCCCCTCCATTGGTTAGGAAAAACTAAAATGAACGGTACCAAGTTTCATGTTGTTGGAGCCATTTAAACAATTTCTACAACAATTATCTAAATTTCAATGTTTTGCTATTTTTTTTATTTATTTTTTTTTTGAATTTCAAGTTGAAATTGAGGTAGTATATACAATATGAATGTATTTATATACAATCAATATGTGTTTATATACAATCAATATTATTATTTATTAATTGCTAGGCCTATATTATATAGAATACTTATTAGGGGAAAGGTACCCTTTTGCACAAATACAGCTTTAAGCCTGGAACAAATAGCCTAAAATGGGGCCCGTTCTAAAAGGGGCCCGTTCTAGGCTATACACCTAAGTCTAAGCCTACATGAATTAAGCAACCTCTACTGTGGTAGTGGGCAATTTTAGACACAGATAATGTCTAAATGAAGTGGGAAATTGAATAGTGTTGTTAATTAGTTTTTGTTTAATATTATAGTTAGGCATATTTCGACCATTGAGTATTTGTATATTAGTTACTTAAACAATATTTAAATTAATTACATTTGTGAGCCTCAGGTTGCGATCAAATTACATTTTCCCTTAAGGGGCCCCTTTTAGACACCTTTCCCCAATATACCGCGACAGTGGCACGCGACAGTTACAGAACCATTGTTCGTGCTGCTTTCGCGTACCGTTGTCGCGGTCCGTGGAAATATATGCAGTATACAGTAGATAATTTTGAATTGCTGTTTTATCCACTGGGTGTAGCCTAAGTATATAGGCCTACCTCCACGGTGTAAGCCTGCACTGCAAGTTAAAATTAGGCAAAAACGAGAAATCAACTGACATTGTTTATGCATTGCACAGATGAGTTTTTTTCCAGGCCAGGTAGGCAGGGGGCCCGGGAGGGCGCGGACGCATTCATCCCCCCCCCCCCCCCCCCCAGTTCCAAAAGGTCCACTTTTTAAAACCTTATTTCACAATTGTTCCTAATTATTGCGAAATGCTAGTGTATGCATTGCATTTTATATTTTGTTGGAAATTGATCAACACCTGTGATTACAGATTGATCCATAAACAATGTTATCTATAGGGCATACAGATATAAAATATGTATTGTTCTACTCTTTGGTGTAGATTTAACATAGGTACTATAAGATCGTTAAACGTCTGCTATAATAATGCCCTATGTTTATTACTGCGACAACCGAGGCACTGTAGTGCGAGTTTTATGTTTGCATCCAATGATGTACCGACCTGTGACGAGTATCTTAGAAATACATACTTTCAGGAACCGTGTGAAAATCAGCTCTAATTCAATCATTGTGGAAATTAAGCATTATGTTCTTTCCAATTCTAAAATGTATAAGCAGTGGAATATTGTCGTACATTAAGATGATTTCCTGATCTTTATGTTTTTCTTGATTCAGTCTATTTTTCACTTTTGTCTTATATTTATATGTATTTGTATTGGTTTAACTGTTGTTCTTTTGTATGGACATGAAATTCTGAAATAAAAGATGAATGAATGAATGAATGAAATAAAGGACATAAAACGTTATTACTTCAGGTCCCTAAATAATTAGTGAAAAATTAATATAATATTCACGAATTATGGGTTTGAGAAATCAATTATATAAGTCCCTCAAAATACTATTTTGTCAGAGCTTCCTTAGAATTTCCCCAAACCTTCTCCAGGCCCATGCCCCTGGACCCCCAATTTCAAATAGACCCCCAATTTTGAAACCTACTATTTCACTAAAATCGTTACTAATCGCGAAATGCTATAGTATGCATTGTATTTTATTTGGCAGCTCTTATAACCATTGATTTTTAATAACTGTGTTACGAAATTTGTTGGGAATTATCAGCTACAGTGATTGCGTATTGATCCCATTATGAACAATTTGATCTGTAGGCCCACAGATGTAGGCCCTAAATGACATAAATAGGCTATATAATATTTATTAAAACTACTCAATAATTTTTTGTATGTGTACCGGTACACACATAATGGGCCTATCTACTGTAATAAGAATGATAAAAATTTACCTGACCGTTTTTAAGAGGGGAAACCTTAAATTTTGAAGAACTTTGAAGTCATTAAACACTTCAGAATTCGGGTAAGCTCATTTCTCGCCATCTAGATATCACAATTTTCCCGGGAGAACCTGGACTCCCTTTCCTTTGGGGTATGATTCATGGAAAAAAGAATAGGCCTACGTATGCAACTACTCCATTTTTCTTTTTTATGTATATACACACATAATAGGCCTATTTATGTAATAAGAATGAGAAAGTTTAATTACCTGACCGTTACAAGAGGGGAAAAACCTTTTTTTTTTAAAGAACTTAAGAGTCATTAAAAGACACCTCAGAAGTCGAGAAACAAAATTTTCCCGTGAGGGACCCCGGACCCCTTGCTTTTTGGGGTTTACCGTATCGATTCATGGAAAAAAGAATACGTATGCAACTACTCAATTTTTTTTTATGTATGTATACACACATAGGCCTATTTACTGAAATAAGAATGAGAAAGTTTACCTAACCGGCTCAAGAGGGGGAAAACCTTGTTTTGAATAACTTAAAAATCATTAAAAGACAACTCAGAAGTCGGGAAATCGCATTTCCCGCCATCATCTAAGAATCAAAATTTTCCAATAAGGGAGGACTGCGATGGCGAACTTGTACTGTTTACATAGGACCTGGCCTACATTATGTTTTTTTCTTTTTCCTAACCTTAACTTTAACCCTATTATAATTTCCTGACGCAACTCACATCGTAATTTCCAATGATTAATAATTTTATTAATATTTCATTGAGTATCCCCAATGTAGTTTTTTAAAGGCCTTTGATACGACAAATTTGGACACAGCTCAATAGTTTTCGACAATTATTTAGGCTATACACTAAAATCAATACGGTATGTGAACAGTACAAGGAAGTTCTTGAAAATATTTCCTGAATACGGAGCAGGCCTAGTGTAAAGTTCAAGTTTATTGGAAATACAGCAGCAGACGATAAACCCAGCAGCCAAGTCATGAATAAGCCTCGAAGGCCACCCACAGTCCCGAGGAACGTGAAGCCCCACCCAGTGGAAAAGGGCCCACCTCCAGACCCTTCTTTAATTTCAAAATTTAAAAGAAGTGATCCGGCTAAATTGAAATTTGATGAGAATGAAGTCGGTCCTAACCCGACCGATTTGGAGATGATCGTAACTGGTAATACGCTTCCCCAGCTCGTCCAGCTCCTGGAAGATTTTGATATCGATGGGAACCGCGTCAGTTTGAAAGCAGGAGATATTCTGATGCTTCACATGATAGTAGAAAAAGATGTTGTTCACGCTATAGATGACAATGGACTGCATTTTTATCTTCCAATTCAGGCCGAGCAAGTGTACGAAAGGTTAACACTGGGTAAGTGTCGTTTGCATAACAAGCATTCAGACGGTACATTCAGCCACACGTAAAATAGTAATAAGTTCATACACCAAAGAGTGGGCTGTAGAATTATATCTCTTTGTTAATACCATGATTTAGAAATGAAAACATTCTGGATAGCAGAACAGTGTATACTTTCATATCACATTTTAATTAGACATGGTGCATTCATATTTGGCTTACCATTCAGATGGGGAGGAATTGCCTTTTAGATCTAGAATATAGGCGTTGCTAACTATTGTGGAAGCACATAGATTAAAAAGGCCTATAGGTCATGGAATTCGACCCTAAATAGTTAACATCCGCGTTTTGTCTTGTCAATACTCTCATAATTTACATCAGTTGACAGATATTACTCTTAAGATTAACAGTACAGTATTTGTGATTGGTATGATTTATCCATAGTTTAATATTGGATAAATTCACATTTCGTATTTTTTTTAAATTTTTCATTCATAACACATTTTCCAACAATATGATCGGTAGCCTACAGTCAAAATGAATAATATATTGTAAAGAGGATCACAATCCCTGTCACGTTAAGACCCTAAAAGGATATATA